AAGGTAATTGTTGGAATATATCGTTGCCTTTGATATTCCTTTCAAGCAAGAAAGATAAATCAACATTTTTTTTAAGCCATTATCATCACTGAAGCAACTTCCTGATGGTCACCACCCATGTTGTAGCATGAAGAACACCTTCGAAATCTCGGTGAACTCCAAAGAGTACACCTTTCTAATCTTGTTAAGTTACAGAGCTCCGACCTAGGATACCAATATCAAATGTAAAGAGAGTTTACTTAACCTTTATGTTTGGCGTTCACATCTCACGGACATCTCGAAAATATCACCCTTTGACCATTAGACCCGGGGCTGCGCTTTGCCATTGGGCATTTGCCACTCCTCTTCCAAGACACTTAATGAAGTTCTCCAGTATACACGTTTTGCACCAAAGCAAGGTGGACGGATCATAAAGTTGTTTGTATCTGTTTGTTTTACAGCGTGTACTGAAGGATTTGATATCTGAAAAGTTGCCCCGTTTAGCAGCTCACTTGGCCTACTACAGTGTGGACATCTCTCTAGTCACGTTCAATTGGTTCTTATGCATATTTGTTGACAGCCTTCCTGTGGACCTGTTTTTGCAACTCTGGGATGCATTTTTGTTTGAGGGCTCCAAGGTACGTGCGGCTTCACAGTTCTTTATGAGAACTGTTTTGTTTTTTCTGATGTAATGAAATGTTTTATAAAATATTTTTATGTGGATGTCTTATTCTGTAAAAAAGGCTTTTATATAGGTTCACTCTGGCAAACGAGCGTTTGGAATGTTCCTGGTTCAAATCTTGCTTAGGGGAGTAGCCGTCCTAAGAAATTTTTAAGCTTTTCCTCAGTCCTTGTTGGTAAGCACCAGGATAAACCCTCGTGCTTTTATCCTATTTTTTTTACGACTCAATATGCGTAGTCTTCATCTGAATTAATTTAAGGCTAAGTAACCTGTTTGGTCAATATTGGATTTTAAATACTCTGCAGATGAACCACTCATTTTACACACTCGCTGCATGGAGTAGGGTCTTTTTTTGAAAATCTGACAGTACGCTTAGCTAGCGAAACTCCTGGTCTATTATGGAACCTGAATGTACTGTGTTCACAAAAGCCTGCCACCAGTCTGTGTCTTGAGCCAAACTAATCCAGTCCACAACTTCCAACCCTATTTCCTGAAGATAAATTTTAATATTTTCCTCCTCCCATCTGTGCTTAGGTCTTCCAAGTGACTTTATCCCTCGAGCTTTCAAACTAAAACACATATGCATA